TACCCAAACTAATGGAACCCATCCTACTCCTTGGAAAACACGGATTATCTACTTTGGACATCAGAGTTCGTGTCAGTGGTGGTGGTCGAGTGGCTCAGATATATGCTGTCAGACAAGCTATTGCTAAATCAGTTGTAGCATTCCATCAAAAATACGTCGATGAGTGTTCTAAAAACATAATTAAGGAGAAGTTCGTTCAGTATGATAGAAGCTTATTAGTTGCTGATCCAAGAAGATGTGAACCAAAGAAGTTTGGCGGCTCCGGAGCTCGTGCAAGATACCAGAAATCATACCGTTAAAGCATAAATATATTTTGATGGCTATATAGTTTCTTTTTCAATGACTGCAGATTAAATTTTGTTGAACTGATTAGGATGACACTTTAAATGTTAAGTGGATAGGATGAATATATGACGTTCAGGTATGTGAAATAATATGTTTTGAAGACAAGTCAGAGCACTCATCTTCGAGACTGACCGTTCAATTATGTAAGAACTTAGTTTGATAGCCGTACAGTAGTAGTCATCTGAGGTGTATATTCGAGTGGTAAGAGTCACACCGTACTTTCTATAATCTCAAATGGTGATCGTTATTTGGAAGTTAGTTTCACTTTCGCCGCACAGAAAATACTTCATCATGAAACCTCTACAGGACCAACAATATCCGGGCCTATTCTGCATTTAAACTTCCCAATAGGATTTTCAGGGTTGATTTCCAAAACTTAGTACTGCGAAATTTGTTAGTTACGTTCAGTCACAGGAACATAAAACGAACTGTATTGATTGGATGAACTGGTCTTTATTTTACATGGCATGAGTTAGTAGAATATGTGGTTTTATATTGTAGAACTAAACATTCATGCTGTAGTGTACTTCCTAGCTGTCTAAGTTAGTTGAAATAATAGCTGATAGCTTGTTTGGTATAGCATGATTTGTGGGTTAGCGGGCTTAACACAATGGTTTAGTGTCGTCCCGTCTCATAGACCTTACACGATAGTGTTTTCGTACATGAGTTTAGAACTAGCTTTGTTTATTTTTTTTCGATATTTTTAATGGCCTTATTCAATATTACATTTTGGCACAATATAGAATTCGCGGCACAGGGTATTTCAACAAGTTTCTTACGCAAAAAAACAGAAACAAAGACAAAAAAGATTTTAAAAAAACAACCGAAAAACTAAAACTTTTCAAATTAGAAACATGTTAAGAATCCAGGTTATTGACTAGGTTGACTCTAACCTGTTCGTCACAGTATATTTACTAGGTAATGTATTATAGAACTTTTATACTTTTGCTTGCGTGCATGGTTTCTAATGTAATTACGTCTCGTTCTACCAGAAGATATACAAAGAGAAAGATAAGAGTGCAGGGGATGGTTAGTATCTGATAAAATAACACCTTCCATATTTTAGTAAAGTATTTTCTATCGGTAATGAGGAACGACTAACGATTCATCGTGACCGTGACGGCTCGCTGATGGATCCTGTAGTCATTGAGAAAGGTACTGTTTTAAGGCTACTTCTGCATCTCAAACCTGATAAGTCCAGTGGTCCTGATGATATTCATCCTAGGATTATGAAAGCCATATCAGATGAAATTGCTGAACCAATAAAGATACTATTTGACATGTCTCTGAGACAGTCCAGATTGCCTAGAGACTGGAAAGACGCCATAATAAGTCCGGTGTATAAGGCTGGGAGTAGGGATTTAGTAACTATAGACCCGTCAGCTTAACTAGTGCAGTTGTAAAACTGATGAGGAAAATCATTCGGATATCTGTTATAAATGTTGAAAGGCATAATCTTTTCTCCAGGGCACAACATGGTTTTCGGAAAGGCCTATCTTGCTTGACAAATCTCTGCTGCAAAAGATCGGAATGTTCCTGTGGATGTGATTTTCATAGACCTAAGTAAGGCCTTCAATAAGGTTTCCCACTCTGGTCTTAAATTCAAACTGGAACGTTTTGGAATCCATTGCACAGTCGTGGATTGGATAAGTAACTTTCTCCATGACAGGAGACAAAGGGTAAGGGTTAATGGGGCTCTCTCCTCGTGGGTACCTGTAAAAAGTGGGGTTCCCCAAGGTACAATCCTAGGTCCTCTTCTCTTTTTACTTTATGTAAATGAGTTGCCAACTGTAGCAAAATCATCCGTCATACTCCTCGCTGATGACATAAAGATTTGGAGACCCATACATAGTATGTTGGATAGAATGGTATTACAGGATGATCTTAGCTCATTGGTGGCATGGTTAGACAGGTGATCACTAGAAGTAAATCCTAATAAGAGCGTAGTGATGCAGTTAGATAACTCTGACGAATCGTATCACTATACATTACGTCGATTCGTGCTACCCAAAGTAAGAAACTATAAAGATTTAGGAGTCATATTAGGCAATGATCTAAAAGCCACTAGTCACTGTAAGGCTGCTGCTGCAAAAGGCTATAGGGTATTATGGTCAATTCGTAGGTCTTTCCAGTATTTAGACGATGAAATGTTTAGATTACTTTACCCAATTTATATGCGACCACATTTAGAATACGGGATTCAAGCAGCGTGTCCTTGTTTCAAGTACGAAGCAGATATACTGGAAAGAGTCCAAAGACGAGGTACAAAGATGGTCTATCTGGCCTATCTTATGAAGATATACTGAGATACCTTAAATCAAATCGTTTACGTCTGGAGTTCCGTTTCTCGCACCGAGTAGTGAATTACTGGAATCCTCTACCGGAACACGTAATATCAGCACCTTCTGTTAATATATTCAAAACGAGATTGGACCTCCACAGTATTACAAACCGCAAGGATTAATACAGGTCAACAGACCTCCTATCCTTATTACTGAAGACTGATAAAATAACACCTGCCAGGAGTTTGCATGACTTTAGATGTCTATCCACAACCATATTATGACCTCGAAAGATTCACCACACATCTTGCTAACTGCCTTCAGCACTCCGCAATACAGCAAAGTCTTTTCTCAAAAGCCCGGGAAAGAATAATGAAGAACAGTAGAGGATAATAGGTAATATGCGAGAATTGACAAATTGTAAGAGTAAATGACGAGTAATCCCAAGAGCATGCAATTTCTTTATGTAGTAAGTCAGACGGAAAGCGTTCTTCGATAACAATAAAACGTGAGAAGACCAAGAGAGATCAGAGGAAAAGGTAACACCAAGATAATTGACCTTCGGATAACTGTCGTTTTGGGCGGATATAAACGGTTTCAGAACATTCCGACCAACCTCACTTGTGTAAGCATCAGGTTTCTGCTTTCTCCACATCAACTTTGTCTCGTGCCTTCGTACGGATGTATGGTATCGTTCAAGCAGTAACTTCAGACTCATAATAAGCATTCAGTAACTTGCATAAAGTATCTAGTTAGGAGCCTATTTACAGAACATTAGTTCTGATGGACATAATACGTCGCATTCACTTGGTAGTCTATGTAGTTTTTTCTGTGTAGACAAACCAATATGCCATTATGGCAACAAAAAGTCAGCAAAATAATTATGTCTCGGAATATTTAGAGTCACAAAACTCAATCTCGCTGTTTCACTGGGCTTATAGGCTGTACTTGACCGGTTGGTGGGAATCAACAGGTATGACTGTTAACGAAAATTTATAAAGACGGGCATTTAAGTGCGCCTTTAGGTTAGTTATTTCCCGTATATCCTAACGATTATTCTCGTTCCACAGTCTGTTCAGATGCTGTTGCAAGTGTTGGATTCAATGCGCACATGTTGGGTGGTTAAATGTAAGTAGAATCTAAACAAACAAGTTAATATCTTCACTTCGTCGTAAAAAAATGTATTGTAGGGAGACTCAAGGACCACTCGGAATTCATAACTCACAAAATCTACTCCAGACAGCATTAAATTCTAAATATTAAGAATATTCATACGGACTGTAAGCGCTTAAAAGAGCAAGAGCAGAACTGTCGTGAATAACAAAAAGTCTAGTACGACCGAATTGTATCTACTTCACACTCATTAGATTGTCATAGGTGGTTAAAACAATGATAGGAACGCAAGCAACAATGTGCATCATTGACTCCTAGGTGTCACGCTGTATGTAAAATAGTCTACGTACTCTGTCGACATAAATAGGTTACAAAAGCTAACTTTCGTTGTAACTGTAAACTGGAACCATCGGAGTTAGGAAGAAAGTTCACTGCTTTGACCGCAAACATCTAACAATTTATCCTATGGAAGAAAACATAATTTTAGGATGGAGAATTGCAATAATGCATATGTAAGGAAGATCTATAATCCAGGACGTTCATTGCTAGATTTTAATAATGTAACGGCGCATAAATTGTTTTGATTGAGATCATGAATCGACAAATGTTAGACCACCATCGAGAACCTGGAAGCACTGGTCAACCGTTTCGTCCTAGTATGGAATTCCCCAAGAGTTTACATCCACAATCCCGCACGCGGGGCCCGGACTTCCGGTTTTAAGCGGAAGCTTAACCCCTGGACCACTGAGCCGGCGTCTAACCCCAACCAGTTCACAATATTGCGCGACCATCCTCGGTGAGGTACTGCCTCCCACCCAACCACAGCTTCTCAGTAGAACTCTGATAATAACCTCTCGAAGTTGATCACTAGTGAGCACATGATAATTATAAGTATAGAGTTGTGTCTAATTATCCTATTAAAGCGGTAATTGGTAACAAAAATGAAGTTTGTTTAGACTAACAGAGAGTGCACCACACTTTTCTGATTAAATGGGAAACTAAGTCTAATGTGAAATATGTTCAGTAGCTCCCGGCGAATTTTTATCTCCAACATGGATTTCTAACAGTCATAAATTTTAACTTGAATGAAGTATAGCCAGTCTTTTTAAGAAATTTAAATGTTTTTTGATGTCACTTCGGAAAATCACAAGAATATTAGTTTGTTTAACAATTCAAGGATTCAAAATCCAGTATTTACGTAAAATAAAAGTGCGTACAAGAAACCCGACCTCAGTCATTAAAGGAGAGAAATGATTACACGCTTAAGTTCAACAAATTTTATTGAAGACAGAAAATTATATATGAATGAAACAATTAATGTTATAAAATAAATCGATAATTATTAGTAACGGAGATACTCAAAGAATGTACAGGGATATTAAAACATGAGTAAAATACACCGCGTTCAAAAGCTTAGTTTGAAAGCAAATAAATGAGTTTTCGTATCACCAGGCATTTCACCGTTTAATGCGTTGATTCTTACCATATACTTTCGGGTTATTTTTACATTTGCCAAGCGAATTAACAACTTTTGTTGGCTTTTCACTATCATGTATGGAGGTTTGCAGTTGTTGAGTGACAGTCTAAATGTAGGGTAATAAACAGAACGTAAAAATTAGCGAGGTGAAAAGAAAAAAGAACAATGGATACTTAGAACTTACACTCACAAATGACAATAATGAGAAAATCTACAGCAGCTTTCCATACGTTTTGTGAATACAGATTGTTTATATGTTTCTTGCATAATGAGAAACGTCACAACACACAACTCTATGAATTGTTGACAGTCTCTGTAGGTTATATTTTACAACTGTACACATATAATGAATAGCAAGCGAACGACCTCTTTGAACTTGAAGTGCGTTAACATTGATTAACAAGTGTTAATATTGACATCTGCAACGGATTTCATTGACTAGAATCGTCGTAAGTGGAGTGTGTGGTCAATATAAGCTGTAACTGGTCAGGGAATGGAGAAAGACACAATTGGATACCTCACACGTAAGATAGATGGACATTAAAGTCACCTGCTACGAGTACTGTCTGAGTGTTTAGCTTTTTGAAGAAACTCAAAAAGCTTTCTATAAAATTCATCTTCCAATTCATCTAAGTTGCAGTCAGTTGGAGCGTAGGCAGGAATGATGATAAGGCAACGACCTGTATCTCTATCCTCCCGAGTTCTTACGGAACCGTTTAGCCAAACAGCACATAGGCGACTATTAACAGGATTCCATTTTAAAAGTGCTTGTTCTACCCCGCCAGCTCACGAGAGATTGCCATCGGATCGTTAGATAAACGGAGGATGTGTCTCGGCGACTCCTCGTCTTGGCTAGATGAGGTCAAGTGGTTGACCACACTAGGATCCTGCATGCGTGTTTCGTAGACACAACCTACATTAATGGTACGAGATTCTAGGATTTCAGCAAAGGAGGCCAGCCGACCGCTTTGACATACGTTGAAGGCTCCAATGTGTAGTTTGAAGCGAGGTTTCAGCAGACCCGGGACAGTGTTTCGCGCGCTAGAATCGTTGTCCATGGTGACACTTGAGGAGGAAGTTTAGAGTTGAATGTCGAGGCAGGAGGAATAATAGGAATTGAAGAGGGATTATAAATACAGTGAACTGGAGTGCTGTTAGAGGTGTGAGGGCGTTATCACTTCCCAGTTTCCCATACCGTGAAAGCATTCTTCTAGAGGTACCTGGAAAAGAAATAGGGTTAGAGTTGGTCCTAGTGACCTTAGCGCGTCACCACAGTGCCCAAAGCACAACTGCTTGAGGCCGGACATACACGACCTTTTCGTATTAGCTCCATACTTGTTGTGACCTCATCGTCGGATAAGGCTAAGTTTGCATTTTTGGGGGAGACTTTTTCTAACCCCACCCGTCCTTTGTGAGAAGGCACCATCACTGCCTCGCTGGTTATCTGAGGGAGACACTTTACTGCCGTAACACCTCAGTACAGTAAGCAGTACGATTTCGCTCTTAGACCTTGAGTTTGCCGCTTTTCAACCGATCTGTCTGACATGGTAGGGCTTTAAGGAACGATTGTTACAGTCAGTATAGTCCGACTGGCATATCATGATAGGCGAGCCCGATCACCACGTAACGTTAAGGTAACGGTAACAGTCGGGCCCACAGGAAGTAGCAATACGTTTGTCGTAATGAAGCTTCGCTGATCAAATCCCTTAAGTTCTTAATCAGTGTCTGCTCATCTTTGTGGTTTTGTCGTAAAAACAAAATTTCAGTAAGCAAAATATGTTAAATCACAAAGACGGTGTCTAGGACATAATTTCTTACAAACGCATTTGCTTGAAATCCGTCGATTCTTTAGTATACTTTAGAAACAACAATTTACATAAATGTTGAGTGGGTAACCTTCACAGGTTATCTATTTATTTCCGTGCACGTGTCAAAGCACATACACTGAAAATGCACAGAGAACAGTAAATGTTTGCATTTAAATAGAATTGAGATTGAAAGGTGTCGCAGCTCTGAATAGCCCAATGGCTCAACAAAATCTATAGATAGCAATATTACTGATATTCATAAATGTTTTTAAATTATCAACAGATAAAAATGCAACTACTGCTTTACACTTTACTGAAGTATAAAAAACTCAAACCAGTTGTGCATTCAGAAAGAGTCAATTGCCAGTTTATAAATACTATGATAAATTCATAATTTTTATATTTTCTGCACAATAAAGTGTTATTTTATTTATTTCGAAATTATCTTTTCACTTAACGAATTCTTAAACCCAAGTATACTTTACGAATTTCCAATAATTTCTACGCGATCTAACATGATCTTTTTCACACTCATGATACAAACTGCTTTAGCACTCTACTTCGTCCATTTCCATTTTTAATCTACCTTACACATTCTTATTTATTATATAGATAGATAATATTATAATGACAATCGTCGTCATTCTAATAATTTAGTTACTAATGTCTACTGTATAGTATTTAAATAACAATGCGTTTGTAAGGAGCTGAGGAGAAACAACAAAATAAAATGAATTCACATTATTCCACCTCAATTGAATAAGATCCAAATAAAAACGGGAACTGACCTTTCCTTTTACAGCATTGGGTTCAGAAACAATCCCAGAGTCCTAAAATCGGAAACAACTAGTGTGATTAAATTGATCAATTAAAGATTAATAAAGTAATTTATTCAAGGTTATTCTAGTAATAGGATCCAGGATGGAAGTTTATTTATCGTGAAAGTTCATTGGTTAGATGGTTCAATATCCTAGAGTGTAACTGTTTGCTGAGTTACAGTAATCAATTCTTATAGAGATTCGAATGGTAAGCTGTTCAGAACAATTTGGCAAAGTATACGCATAACTATCAGAAACAATCAATTTCACTGAATGATTTAATTTGATGTAGACTGCTGATAAGATGTAAAATGTTTCAATTAGTTTTTAAAATACTCCACTTGGATTATTTAAATAAAATGAAATCGGAAAATATTTGACAACTTACCGGTCCATTTGTAGAAACTGAGATACAATCACCGTTATCTTTATTAAACTCAGGTTGAAGGGTTGTTATCTGATCTTCAATAAATGTAGACTCGTTGCAATCAGCAGCAAATGACAGATCTTCGTCTGGAATAGGAATTGTAGCTAAATTATTAATATCTTCAATTGTCCTATTGGAACGATATGCTTTTAATATGCGGTGATAGGGGCCTGTTTTAGCGAATTCTGTTGGATAGGAAAACTTTCGGGATTGAGGTGTTTCCCCCGTTGGAACATAAATACGATATCTCCTATTCAATATATCTTCCATTTCATTCGGCATAACATACAGATTTGTCCCAATCAGTTGGAAACTTTCACTGAACTTGAAATTTAATGAAGATATAAAAAGACATGATGAAGAGCCAGGAAAAAATTTATTAGGACTAACAATAGCGCGAAATCACTTCGAAACTTACCTCAATACTACGATCACTGCCTGCGCCTTCTAGGCCAAGAAGAATGCGAGTGGGTTCTTGAAGAGAACTAAAAAGATTATTACTCATGATGTGTATCATTTTTGTCGTATGATCAAATAAGTTATAATCACTATGGTTGTCGTTAGCCGACTGCCAGATTGAAGCTTTTTTCAATAAATCCGCACCAAGACCATCAGCAGCAAATTGTTCAACGCGCTTGCATACATTATTCATACAATTTTCCAGTTCCCCTTTTAGATTTTCGTGGTTATGTGAAACAGTATTCGTAACTTCCTTCAAACGATTAATGGACAACATATTTGAATCGTGGGCTTTACAAACATCTTGTAAGATTTTTTCCTGTTTACTGGACAGAGACGATTTCAATTTTTCAACTTCATTCTGACTCGATCTTGAGAATTCTGTTAGACGAGAAGATCTTGATGACAGTTCACCTGAAATCTGCTAGTATAAAAAAAGAGAATTATTATGACAATATTTGAAAAATGAGGACCAACCCTCTTGGAAAACTATATATATATATGTATAATATCGTGACAATGCTTTGTCATTTCTGATGTCTCAAACGGAATGGACCATTTCACTGATGTATACATCAGAGTAGAGTCACATATCTGCCCTTCCTTTATTTTAAACCATATAAATTGTCAACGGGAATGACGTTTCTAACCGATAACAAAGTATTCACATATTAAAATATTAGTAACAAGCTTAAAAACAAGAAGATATAGTAGAGTAATAAAGTGGTCTGTTTTCAGCGTTACTAAACTAGTAGTTGTCTAAACTTAAATGTGATTACGTATATGAAAAGAGGAATTGATTATTCAGTTAATTTTAGCTCCGAAATGTTATAGAATCAAAGGAAGAATATTGAACAACAAGTTGATGCTTCCTGTTGACTCAAAAACAAGCGGGAAATATCAGTATATTAGGGACCAGAACTTATTGTTCTCTGCGGTAATTATATACTGACAATTTCGTTGGAGAAGTGAAGCATAAAAGTTGGATACAGTATTTGAGAATTGAAAAAGTGCCTAATGTTGCTGAACAGCTTGTGAAATGAAGTTATTTAATAGCTGAACTGCAAGAAGTATAAAGTGAGCATCTCTGTTAAAAAGTCTGTATGAAGCAACAGCAACATATTATAAAACATGAGAATAGAAGAGCAGAGAGTTAAAAACTATTAAATAAGCTTACCTCATCATGGCTTGCCATTAAATTCTTCAACTTGTTAGTTGTGGATTCCAATTCCTAAGATGTCAAAATATGAATGTTAAGTTGACTTTTAGAAACAAAACAAATACTGTGAATAAAAATGTGAACTATGGTATCATAATGAACCAGTTCAAATTGCTACAAAACAATAAGTGGGGCAACAAAATATTTATAAAATGATAAAATATCAAATAAAGTCCCCGGCTGTTGATTTCTTTTATTACAAGATACATGGAGAAAAAAACCACAGATAATTTTTAACTTCCGAATGCTCCTAGATTTTTTAATTTAGCAAAGGCAAAAGTTCTTGTCAGTCAGTCAGCTACAACGTAGGACCAGGCACATTTATGCATCGGTCCAAGTTGCCATACCTCATTAACACAACAAGATGGACACCGGATTCATAAAAGTAGTTAATTCACAGGTGGTAATGTATCAAAGAAAGATTGCAATAAGGATATAGCATAGGAAGAAAGATATGAAGCGATTTTAATCTCTTAGTTTAAGGGAAGATAGAGAGTGTATACACCTACGCCATTGTGATCGAGTCTGAGCCATGTCACCAAGAGTCTCCAACCATTGGTTACAATAGTCACGCGGATCCCAATCAAGTAGTCTGACTCTACCAACATGGCTCAGACTAGAGGTTAGTGACTCCAAGCACTGATGCCACGTTTTGGTTTGGCCGCCCCTAACTTTGTTCCATCCATCTCCAACGCTGGTTAGCATTGCACGTCGTGGTAATCGGTGTTCAGGCATACGCAAAACATGGCCCAACCATCTCAGTCGACGAAGATTCACCATCGTTCCCTAATACCCTGCGTCTAACCTCACTATTACTTACCCAGTGATCCCAGCAGCAATAGCTCCTGAGAATGAAACAATTTTAAATCATTTACAGCTTCACCAATTTTAATTAATTAAATCTCTGTTAACATAAGCACTGTCCATCTAGTCATTCAGTAATACAGTTATCCTATAAACTGGTTATTCATGTGGTGTACACAAAGTATACTATGTACTAGTAGCTTAATGGAGTTCTTATTAGTATTATATTCAGAAAAAATATTAACTGAACCCTCTATTTGTGTACAGAAATTCATTTAAAACCAATGAGACTGTTCGTACAATATGAGTAAATAGTGCATTCAGCAGTATGACTTAGCACTGGAAAGTGACTCGGTATGTTTACAAATACAACCTATCATCAATGAAATCAAAAATAAATCCAGTGAAAATTTACGTAGATCTCAGTCACATACAATAACCTCTACTTATAGTGTAATTATGTAGTTCTACAGACAGATTTTATTACTCAAAGATGCCATAAATTTACATACGACCATGTGAATTTACGAAACATATATACGTCGCTACTTACATTAAGCAGATTTCCATACTGTGTTCTATAAGAAGCCATTTGATTTTGTATAGCCGTGTCATGTTTCATTTCATCATGCACAAAACCAGAGGACAATGAAGCGAAATTATCTAGTTGCTTGATAGCATAATCCAATTCTTGATTTGATATTTGGTAAGCATCAAACTGTACGGAAAAATGATGCAAATACAAGTAAGTAGGAAATCGATGTTGTGAAAACAAGTGAATTTGCAGTTCACACTATAGACTGTAGGTTCTGAGAGAATCCTCTCTGATTATCCTAAGAGAACCAACATAAATCTCGTTAGAACAGAAAGTGAAAAAAATGACATGTAGAGCAAGCTATACGAACTGAAATTCAAATTGTGACCTTTGTTGAGGCTAATGTCCTCTATATCTGACTCCAATAAGTAATATCCTTTTAACTGAGTATTTAATGCAGGCTAAATCTCCTGGTAGAATTATGGATTTTAAGCGAGATTATTCAAAATCCTGAACACCAGCTGTAGAGATAATTTCTTGTTAATAATTAATAAAAATCCGCAAGCGTACAGCAAGCAAGCACACGATGAAACAGAGTGAGTGTAAGTTTGTGTGTTAAAATTCCATATATACTTTTGAGAGTTAATTGGGTGTGGGTAAATTATCGATTATCGGTACATTGCAACCAATAGGAGGGTAGCTTAAGGGTTAATGTACAGACATGCATTCGATCATACACACCGAAATTAACACGCTGAATTAAGTGTCTGAGTTACAATGAATAGACAAATGATACAGTGGTCAAATGGGCTTGCCACACCTTCAGCAATCTGTATTAATTATACTGATACATATTAATAACGAGACATGTGTACAACAGAATACAGGAGTACATACCTGATTGAGCAAACATTGATCCAGTTCATCTGCACCGATAGACAGAGATGTAACAAGTTTCTGAAGACATTCAAACTGTGGAACTATGATAGTATCACGACCAGTCTTTGCTTCAGTAGCTTGTTCTTCAGCAAATTTGTTAATTTGGTTGGCGGCGGTGATACACTCATCGGCCAGGAAAGTTCGTAGTTTTTTTACCATTTCTCGTTGCACCCTGACTGCATTACAAGTAGACAGCATGACTTTCTCCTTTAAATTACCTGAAAATAAACATATTAAGAAACAAAATAATGTGAAAATCTAGACTAAATATTGAAATATTAATTTGCTAGGCATGAAAATAAACTAGAAACGACACAAGTATTTTTAAGTATGTACAGCATATTTTCAAGTAGTTTAACCAATCGATGATGAATCATTAGCTATAAATTTACAAGCACATTCCAAATACTACAAACAGCAGTGGCTTGATCGTAGCAAGATATGGTTATTTATGATAGGATGACCAGAAACGTCAGTTGTTATTGAAAAACATTTAGTAGTTCAAGGAACTGAATTGATTAATTACTGTTCACAAAAACTAGTAAGTACGAATTTCTGTAGTATCCATTCCTAAGTGGTTGGTTATTTGTTGATAGCCAATGTTGAGGATTAACAGTTACTTGATAGAATGATTTAGTAAATAAATTTTATATCTAGAATTGGAACACCTTCTTTATGTAAAGGAGAGTGATATTATCCAACCGACCAGTCAGAAATTCCAATAACGTTTTTCACAGTCACTTGATAATTTTAGTAACACCACATTTTTGTAACCCTATAGAATAATTTAAGGTATTTAAGTTGCCAATTTATTTCTAAGGATAATTGATACTGAAATTCTAGTCGAAATCTATGGATACTGTTCTCAAACTATTTTAATCTGGATAGGAACTTAACAAGTATTTCATTTGTGTAACAGTTTTGTAGAGCACATCAGTAGTGACAGGAAGGAAATTCAATTTAAAATACCAAGTTTTTAAAAGAGAAATCTCTGTATGTCTTCTCCTTTCACTAAACTCTATCAGACAGCCAAGTCAGATTCAGTGTTCAGAACAAAGACAAACCATCGTTTGTATTGAATAAAGTGACAGTCTTACAGTGAGATGACACACAAAATATCCAAGTCGGACCTAACCAGTTAGCAGTGTCCGTAAGCATGAGATGTATCTCCTATCTTGAAAACGGATAGTACTCCTGAATGACTATAAGTTGCCTGTCTTTTATGGAGAACGACTAGAAAGATCATGTATCTGGATAGTTTTGTGAATGCTAGTGATGAGATTTTAGGTGAGATCAATCTACATAAAGTGGAAACTTGTGTTAATCTTGACAGTCTTTGGTACCATCGTGATGTCAGTTTGGTTGTTAAAGGATGAGTTTAAAATGTGTTCGCGAGAGCAGCTGTTTTAGGCTTGTAAGTTCTTGACATTTAAGAACATCGACTATGATAGATTGGATGTTTTATGTATATTAAAGTTGGGACTATGGAAAACAGAGGCGATCGGTTTATTATATGACGTGATGGTATGATAGTTGTATAAAATTGGTATCTGTTAGTTCATAACAATTCTTTGACTAGGGTTAGGATTGTGCAATTTAGTAGTTTTGGATGGAAATGGCTTTGAATAGAGGCCAGTGGCGTTCCTGGGGTTTTTCATTAAATTATTCATATTTATTTATTTATTTGAACACATAAATATTGGTACAAGGGGGCACCAGATACATATGCGCCACACAAATCTCATTTGATTTGTGTGAGGGCTGTGATATTGTTCGGGTGCCCGAACCGAAGCAGTAAAGCGAATCACATGAACTGGAAATTTCTGTAAAGTATATTTTGAACTAAATTGCATCTTTTATTAAATACTAGTCTTGTCCATATTAGTTATTGATATCATGACCCCTCTCTCTTTTACCTTTTTAATATGTGGTTGATTATTTTAGTGTTCTAATATAAGATAATTTTATGTGTATTATGAATGAACAAATGAAGTAACAAGGCTTAACGAAATGATACATGAGTCCGATAAACATCTAAATCTACTACATGTAAGCAAGTTTATAGCTGAATAATGCTGAGTTTTGATATCATATTTAGCATGTCAGTCATTAACAATATCCCACCAAATAATCACGTTATCAAAAAAGTGACCTAATCAGTAAATGTATCTTGATTCAAAATTAAGGTACTGATCAAACATCAAGCACTTTTTATAAGTGAAAAGCAACAGTATTAGTGTATCTGCCAAAGGTCAGTGAACTTTCTTATAATTTAACTTGGTGGATTTAAAATACATGGATTCCTGTGTAATTGCACATAATATTCTTACTTACTTGTACTATCCTGAACAAATAGGCAGAAGTCCTTCACTTGTGTAGCAAGCGTTTGAAGGTCACGTGCTATTGGGGTCAGACGCTCAGGCAACCAACTACTATGCAATGTATGCAGACGTTCACGGTTTTCTTTATCAAGGTCAGATAAGCGAACCAGTTTTTGATGCAGACCATTCACATCACAAACGGCCGAATCAGTTGTTGATAATAATGATTTTGCCTGTTCATGAAGACGTGATTCCGTTTTCTTGTGTTCTTGGCGTAAATAATCCGTTTCTTCATAACGCATTTTTAATTTCAAAAAACGCACGCGCAGATTTTCCTAAAAGTAGTAGATAAGAGTTTTCATAAAAGTACAATGGCAAAAGTGGTAGAAAATGTAATTTTTCGGCATTTGTGGCTTACGAAAAGAATTGAATTGGGATTCGCCTGCCAAATAACATCGACATTGCATGTTAGCCAAGTGCTGTTGCGGGATATCGTCGAGACTATTCATATAATTTACATATTGTCCAAATTGAGGATCGTTATTGCAATGACTGCCAATGGTGCACGATTTTCAGACGATGAAACGAGGTTCGGGTAACAGTTTATTCTAAGCACATATTAAACAAACGACTAGTACGCGCAGAACGAGACAAATTAAGGAATGTCGCTCGACAAGATGTGTGGACATGAAAGTGAGTCATCAAGAGATTTAAGTAACTAACATTCAGGCTAGTAAGTGATATAAGTGAATATACAGATGGTTGATCGAAGGTAATTCTTGGTATGAGGATATGAATATAGGTGACATTTTAGATTAAATTAACAGTCTGCTAAATAGGTTAGGTGAAGGGCTTTCTAAATTGACACATACAAACGCACGTGGGGGTAAGGGTACATGGTGGATAAAAGCTTATTTATTTATTTAAACACATAAATATCGGTACAAGGGGGCACTAGATATATATGCCCCGACCGTTGTTGCTACCTTGACGTGGTGGTTGGGCTTCCCTATCGTGATGAAGCAACCGAGCTATACTGACTGGAACAACTGTCCCTCAAGGTCCTACCACGTCAGAAAGGTCGGTTGAAGAGCGGTAAGACTAAAAGCAACAAACCCAAGGTCCGAAGGCGAGGTCGTACTGCTGACTGTACAGAGCTGTGAATGCAGTAAGGTGTTTCCTTCAGACAACCAGCATGACAGCGATGCTGCCTTCCCACAAGGAGGGATAGGGTTAGAAAAGGTCGACCCTAAAAATGCACACCTCGCCTTATCCCACGGATATCCGTCTCCGGAGGTAAGGTCTCAACAAGTGCGGAGCTAACACAAAAATTGCCCTTAAAAAGGTCGTGCTTGACCAACCTCAAGCAGTTGTCTCTTGGGCACTGCGGTCACGCTCCCAGGTCACTAAGACCACCTCTAATCCAATTTCCTTTTTAGGTACCTCCAGAAGAACCTTTCCACGGTGTGGGCAACCGGGAAGTGATAACCGCCCTCATACCTCTAACAACACTCAAGACCACTGTATTCATAACCAACCTCTCCAATTCCTATTATTCCTTCTGCATCGACTTCAAACTCTAAACTTTTTTCGGCTTCCCCCTCAACTGTCACCATAGCCAACGATTCTAGTGCTCAAAACACTGTCCCAGGGATACTGAAACCTCGCTCCACACTACACATTGGAGCCTTCAATGTACACACCCTATGTCAAATCGGTCAGCAGGCTTCCTTGGCTAAAACCCTAGAATCTCGTACCATTGATGGATGCTGTGTCTCCGAAACACACATACAGGATCCCAGTGTGGTCATTCACTTGACCTCACCTCGGCAAAACGGAGCCAACGAGATACACCCTCCATATATCTGGTGACCCGATGGCCAGTTCTCGTGGACTGGCAGGAGTAGGGATAGCACTAAGCACGAGGGCGGAACAAGCACTGTTAGAGTGGATCCCCGTCAACAGTCGTCTATGTGCTGTTCAGCTAAACGGCTCCGTAAGAACTCGGAAGGATAGGGACACGTCGTTGCCTTTTGTCGTTTCTGCCTACGCTCCCACTGACTGCAGCTCAGATGAAATGAAAGATGAATTTTACAGAAAGTTATCTGAACTTCTTCAGAAAGCTAAACGGTCAGACATAGTACTCGTAGCAGGTGACTTTAGTGCCCAGATAGGTAGTTTAAACCAAACAGAAAGGCATTTAGGTGGGTATTTTAGTATACCGGCACAGCGAACAGATAATGGTGATAGTCTGCTGCAACTATGCTCAGAAAATCGTTTATTTTTAGCAAACACAAATTTTAAGCATAAGGAGAGACATCGTCTAACATGGCGGCCCCCTACACCAAACCTACGATGGACTCAAATAGACCATACTGCCATCAGTCATCGTTGGAGAGGGTCGGTACAAGATTGTCGCTCATTCTGGAGTACCTGCTTGGACTCCGACCATGCCCTAATACGGGCACGCATCTGCTTGTGCCTCACTGGACGCAAAAAAGCCACATTAAAAAGACCCATTAGAACTGAGTTGAGTAACGAGAAAACCAAAAGTAGGTTCCAGGAACAACTGGGGTCACACTTAGATAGTTCTGAAAACGAGGCTGACCCAGATGTTGCTTGGAAAGATATACAAACAGCTGTGGAAACAGCAATGAAATCTATTAGTAACTTAAACCACAGAGTTACAAAGAACCAGTGGATTTCTTCAAAGTCTATCACACTGATGGATTCTCGCAAACTCGTCCCATCAGGTTCCGAACATGATGAAGAGCGACAACAAATCAGATCTAGGTTAAGAAAAAGTCTAAGAAACGACCGTGAGCAGTGGTGGGCAACGAAAGCAAAAGAGATGGAAAAGGCGGCGATTATAGGGAACACAAGACAGCTTTACAGACTAGTAAAAGAAACTGGAACTAATAAGTCAAGTGTAAGTGAGATTATTTCGGAAAAAGACGATACTCTCATCTGCTCCCAGTCCAGACGTTTAGAACGATGGGCGGAACATTTTAGGGAACAGTTCAGCTAGCCTTCAGCTACTCTACAACTACCCTCCATTCCCAGACAGTGTGTATGGAACATTGAAGTAGGTCCTCCAACTCTAGCAGAAGTTCAAAAGGCTATAGTTAATCTGAAACGAGGAAGGGCAGCTGGTCCAGATGGATTGGCTCCAGAAGTCTTTAAGGATGGTGGTCCAATTTTAGCGATTAGGTTGACTAATATTTTAGCTAAGATCTGGGAGTTAGACGTTATTCCATCTGACTGGTCGCAATCACTTATCGTCCCAATATATAAGAAAGGGTCAAAATCATCCTGTGACAACCATAGAGGGATTAGTTTAACTAATATAGTATCTAAAATACTAGCCTCGATAATTATCAGACGCCTAACTAAGATTCGTGAAATGCAAACACGAGAGAACCAAGCTGGCTTCAGACCTGGTCGTGGCTGCATCGACCGCATATTCACCATTCGTCAGGTTCTAGAACACAGGCATACTTATCGACATCCGACAATGGTGGTCTTTCTTGACTTAAAAGCAGCATTTGACTCGATAGACCGCGAGATTATGTGGCACTGTCTGTCATTGAAAGGCGTACCTCAGAAGTACATAAACCTTGTGAAGGCTCTTTACCCGAACATTACTAGTCGAGTAAGGGCTTATGGCGAACTGTCATCTACTTTTGCAACCTCAAGTGGTGTCCGTCAAGGCTGTCCACTCTCTCCATTTTTGTTTAACTTCATCATAGACCTACTGATGGAAATAACGTTCTCGTCGACTGAATTCTCGGGTATTGATCTCTTTCCAGGAGGTCCACTTGTCGACTTAGAATACGCAGATAACATAGTCCTGTTTGGTGAAGACGCTGACAAAATGCAGAGTCTTCTGTTAGCACTAAGCAACAATGCCAAGATGTTTGGGATGCACTTCTCTCCCTCGAAATGCAAGTTGTTGCTTCAGGACTGGTCTGCGTCAACACCTGAACTAAGGATAGGGAGTGAAGTAGTCGAACGCGTCGACAACTTCACTTATCTTGGAAGTCTGATCAGCCCTAATGGGCTGGTATCGGACGAAATCTCAGCACGGATTCGAAAAGCTCGCTTGGCTTTTGCCAACTTACGTCACCTTTGGCGAAGGCGAGATATCCGCCTATCAATAAAAGGACGAGTATACTGCGCGGCAGCCCGTTCTTGTTTTAATTTACGGCAGCGAAACATGGCCTTTAAGAGTAGAAGACACTCGTAAGCTACTAGTATTTGACCACAGATGCCTCAGAAATATTGCTGGCGTATCTTGGGATCACCGGGTAAGTAATAGTGAGGTTAGACGCAGGGTATTAGGGAACGATGGTGAATCTTCGTCGACTGAGATGGTTGGGACATGTTTTGCGTATGCCTGAACACCGATTACCACGACGTGCAATGCTAACCAGCGTTGGAGATGGATGGAACAAAGTTAGGGGCGGCCAAACCAAAACGTGGCATCAGTGCTTGGAGTCACTAACCTCTAGTCTGAGCCATGTTGGTAGAGTCAGACTACTTGATTGGGATCCGCGTGACTATCGTAACCAATGGTTGGAGACTCTTGGTGACATGGCTCAGATTCGATCACAATGGCGTAGGTGTATACACTCTCTATCTTCCCTTAAACTAAGAGATTAAAATCACTTCATATCTTTCTTCCTACTAACTAATTCTTTCTTCCTGTACTGTATCCCTATATGCAATCTTTCTCCTATATACCACCTTTGACCTAATCACTCCTATGAATCCGGTGTTAATCTTGCTGTGCTAATGCGGTATGACAACTTGGACCGATGCATATATGTGCCTGGTCCTACGTTGTAGCTGACTGACTGAGATATATATGCACCACATAATAACAATGAGAATGGGAAGCGAAAAAGAATGTAAGGTGCGCACAAGAGAGAAGGGAAAAAAGAAAACAATGACGACCACAGATTAGTATGTGGTAGTGTAATAATAATGGGGGAAACGGAAAGGTACAACCAGAAAGAACTCTTTCAGTTAAGGAGGTTACAACCACTTTTTATGGAGAAAGTAAAAGGTTGCAGCAAGATCGCCACCTGCTTCTATTCTGAGCCATAACTGATAACGTCTCTAGCCACTGTGCTACACCATCTCTCGGACCCCAAACAGGGAGTGGGGAAGGACCAACAGAAGCTAGCCCTATGAAGCCACGACACCATGTCATACACTGACCACCTCTCCGCCTTCTCCAACCAGTCCCAGAGTCGGCAAACAATGCACGACGTGGAATTCTCTGGGATGACATTCGTAGGACATATCCGATCCACCGAAGTCAACGTTTCAAGATGGTGACACCATTTGGATAATCGTCTCTGCGCCCGAAATCACGATGCCGAACCTCTATATTACTAACATGAAGTTGCCACCAAATGTCAGCAATCCTTCGGAGACAACGATGATCGAACACAGAGAGTCGTCTAACATCCTCAACTCGGAGAGGCCAGGTTTCACAAACATAGTTTATTTATTTATTTATTTGAACACATAAATATTGGTACAAGAGAGCGCCAATATATATGAGTCTGTTGCCGCAGCAACAGGTCAGTTGAACTGCTCTTCGAAGAACTCTGCCCATCGTCCAAGACGTCGATGGATGTTAGTGACTGGCATCCCATCATCCTCGCAGATTGTTTCACTCACACCAGACTTCTTGCTGCCAGTGGCTCGGATCAGTTGAAAGAGCTTCCGGCAGTTACCAGATGCAGCTGCTGCTTCCAGTTCATTTGCACGCTCCGACCGCAAAGCCGCAAGCGGCTTTACTCACCATTTTGATGGCGTCATGAAGATGCAACCAATGCTCATCTATAATTTTCGGTGGGATGGTAGCTAGCCTAGAAGCTAGCTCGATTCGATAATTACTTGCAACAGAAATTGCAACCAACTTGATAACATCAATCCTTCGGTGGCGGTCACTTCGTTGTCCACTGAAAAATAAGGTGAGATTGGTGCAGACTAGGGTATGATCAGAGTCCAGGTAGGTACTCCAAAAGAAGCGGCAGTCTTGTACACAACCACGCCAGTGGTAGCTGATCGCGATGTGATCAATCTGACTCCAGGCTTGAGATACAGAGAGAGGACGCCAGGTGGCACATAGGCGATGACTGTGCCGAAAGTTAGTGCTATCCAGAAACAGGTTGTGATCTGTGCACAGTTGCAGCTACTAAATACTTAATGAAACTTACCGCATCCATCTTTTAGTCTTCTTTATCTCAAGATTAGAGTTTAAAGAACACAGAAATTCAGTTAGTTATCGTATACAGACAGGGACAAATGTTTACTACTAAAATCAAACTAACACTTTTACCAGGTACTTGGGTATGAGTCATTTTGATTGTGAGGCTAATGGTACTACCCAATTGCCTAAACGGAAGTCAAGTGCTACTAGCACTTGGACCACCTCTCCACAAATGTACGTTGGCTCAAGTTGTCAATCACATCGAAATGGCTCGGAGAAATTAACTTAACGAATCGGAACAACTGTAATACCAATGATAGTAAGAAAGATCAAACCTTGAGAATATGGTTTGAGAAGATAAAATAAAAGGATTTGCATGAAGCAATACTAAAAGTCAATATCTAGAGGAAGAAAAAGAGACTGAAATCTGAGCCGTATCACCTAACATTTTCAACCACTGATCACAATTATTGCGTGAATCCTACTAGGCACTTTATATGTGCATGGTATTTGTACTGACTGATGATTCATCCGTACTTGTTTAAACTCCCAAATGCCGTGGTACGGCCGAAGTCAGGAGACTCTGCTATTTCTCTCGAAATGCTCTCACATGCACACACGCATACAGCCACTGCCAGGGAGGTCCTAGTGGAGGCGGGGGGAGATAATGAAATTAAGAGGACGAAAAACGAATGTCCGGGGCTTTAACTGGGTCGGTAGATATGGAGAATCTACGCAGGGGAGTTGGAAAACCCTGATTTCAAACCAGTGGTGCAAATAGGCTCCAGGATCGTGATAGAATAAATGGCGTGTGAACCCACTGTCGGTCACCGGATTCCGTGGGACTGAATCTCTTATTGTTGCTCCACCGCCTTGTGGATTAGATCTCTAGTTCGAAAACTCGGGGAGTTATCCTCTAAGAGAACCACTTGCTTAGATTTGGGTGCCTGGGCAGTATTCCAGCCCTCACACAAGTCACTCAACTTGTGTGGCGCATATATATCTGGTGCCTCCTTGTACCAATGTTTGTATTTAAATAAATAAATGACTTGATTATGTGTTTATTACGAATTCCAAATATAATACGTCCAAATGTGATCATCTAGTTCTACCTGCCTTAAAATACACGATTTCGGGAATTATTAGTTAGGAAATCAATTTGAATACTTCTAATCATCGTAATTTGCTAACATGATTCAGTTAAAAAGTTGAGGGCTTCATGGGCCGACCCACCACCTTGGATCAACCGCCCTTAGATTTTTCCCGAATTAATCCTATACCACCCAACATTCCAAGTCGGTGTGTGGTACGTCTGCGTAATGAGCTGATTATTCTCAACTTCAACTTCAATACGATGAATGAGACTGCCTGTATCTTTTTCTTCCTTGTCGGATAGCTAAAGTGATAAGTCCAAGTTTATACAGAAGTTCTTCTTGACAGAATCAAGAATAATTAATTTACATTTGCATTAATTCGATTATTCAATGAATATTGGTTACAGAAATTTACCAATCTGAGGAATTACCATTGAACACAAGATTACAATGCATTAGTCAACATAATGAAAAATGCACTGGAAATCAAATTACTAGTTGCATATTGAGTAGCCGATACAAGTGAACACACATTTAAAATTAATGAACAAAATCCATTAAAAATTAATACAATGGAAATATGTTGGGAGATAACTAAACGAAAATCGTTTTAAGTTAGTATAAAATTCTTACATTTGCTTTCTTTCACATACACTATCATTTGAGATTTCACTAAGCTAACAAATTAAGTAAGGTAACACACCCCAGCCACAGTCGATGAAGATTCATGACCTCATTACTGGATTTGCCATACTGGCTTCATACCTAAACCTAATTCCGAGTATTGCTACCACAGTTGTTTTAAAACACACCAGATTATACATCTTTTACTTTCATATGCCATGCTTTGGAGTCATAAAGTAATAAAGAGTAGACTGCTGCGCAGTGTACTCACTCTTTGGTTAGCAGACGAACATCTCACCTACATCACAATTGATGCGAGATGCCAAAAGATTTTTTAAATACGTGTCAATGTTTCGTTAGGATCCAACTCACCAGGGTTGGTAAGACTTTCAAAATAAATAAAGGAATTCACATAGCAATACAATAACCCACTGATTTGCAAAAGCAAAAAAGAACTCACTAAATCTTTTCCATAAGCAATTAACTCATTCTCCACTTCTTCCTTACGCATCCGAGTTTCACTGAGTTCTTCCTGAGTAACAGTGAATAATTCTTGAACTTGAGCGATTTCCTCTTCCAAGATTTCTCGTCTTTCTTCAAGTTCACTAAAATGTCAGAAATTCAAAATATCAAGAAAATGAGGACTAGCAACACATACATATTTTAATATCTACTGAAAGCGATAAGGACTGAGCAGTTTTGCCAAAGTGTCACTCTGTTTGTACCCAAAAATCACAGATAGTGAATATCATTTCAGTGTTTTAAATTTATTTTGGAGTTCTCTTATTCAATCAAATGCAACCTAAATGGGATGAGAAATATCAAACATAATAGGAAGTAGGGACGACTTGCCGATAGTAGCTGGCTACAGTGACATACGGATCAAACTTGTACACCCTAACAACTAATCAACACTTGCTTGTCCATATCATATTATACTAAGAGGATCATTGGAAAATTACTATGGTCAAAAGCAACAAATCCCAGGTTTAAAGATGAATCCGTTCTATCTGCCAAACCAGGATGTAAAGGCAGTAAGCTTTTTCACAGATGACCAGTATCCCCAACGTTGCTGGCCTTTTATACACAATTACGCTCCTAGATAGATGAGACCATCGATCGACTTTTGAAATTTCTTTAAATGTTTTCCATAATGCGAGCAATAGGGAGGTATCACTGGCCAAAGAGGGACGTGGGCGTTAGCACAATATTGATTGGATAAAAGCACGTTCCATCCAGGATTGTTTTGGAGCACGCTGGATGGCTATCCAGTAATCAATCAGCACTAGCGGATAACTGGAGAAAACTAGAATCTTCTCGTGTAAAATTACCAATCCACTAACGCTTTTGTTACTGTGACTCTTTTTACTATTTAACCTAGTTAATTTGAAGTATAATCACTTTTCTATTTAACCGTGTTCTGATATGGGGACTAGTCGGGTGAAGTGATGCCTGAAGAATACTAAGCAATGAGAGATCTCAACATTAAGCCATTCCGTTCATTACTAACTAATTCACTAAGTACTTGGCTATGAGCCACACTTTCAGTGTGATAACTAGTGACACAGACCAAAGTAGACAGAACGGGTTTTGAATTCTTTGAAAATTTTACCACCGCTTATTTTCGTCACCAATATTTTCTTATTTTCTTGTAACCAGTACTTCAGCTAAAGGTTAGAAAATTATTTTTTATCTATTTTTTTTACTTTTGTTGGTTAACTTTTTAATGCAATCTAAACTGACTAGTTTTAGAATCAATGTTTTAAACACACCTAGTTATTTAAAAAATGAAAACATGATATAATCTATTCAGTCGAATGTAATTTAACTGACCATTAGCTGTAACTACGTGAGAATTATGAATGATGAGACTAAGTAGCGGTGTCTAAAGGAAGTCATACTCGGTCTTCTCGTGCGAAGTTTTAAATGTATTGCTTTCGTACTTCAAAGGCTTTACCACCGGGGATGAGGATCTATGGGGAAAGGTGAGGTGTGACATTTCCTAACACCGTCCTTCCATTATGAGAAGGCAGTGTCGCTGCAGATGCCGGTTATCAGATAGAAACAAGTTACCATCAGCATACTCGCGTAGACTGAGAAAAATGAATTTATACTTACATCTTAAGTTGCTGCTTCTAGTTTTATCGTTTTCCAGCAGACCTATCTGGGACGGTAGATTCTAAAGGAACAAGTGATCTACACAATATTGCTCGATTATGTCATAACAATAGACAAGTCCGACAGTTGCATCAAGATATCGGCTAGTCAGTGAGGCCTCAATATGCACATAATTAACTGGTTTTTTTACAGAATGATAGTAAGTTGACATATTCTAGTGATAAACCGTGTCACCAAGTTGAGGTACTTTTCAACAATTACGTGGACAGTGTAATACGAAACTCAACACTTATGATAAGTTATTTCAACTAAACATAAGTGAAACAAATAAACAGATCGACTTACCATATACGAATTCTTTGTTGGGCGAGTTGAGACTGCAACATCTGATAGTTTTCCTCATTTACGAAAATTCCATTTTTCGTTCTTGCAGCTTCAAGGTCACGACGTAAACGCTCTAGCTCTTCGTTATAGCCCTTCACCAAATCAGTTTTATTAAGTCTCGCGTTAATTTCAGGTCGGTTCTCAATGTTTTTGGCTCTGTGAGCATAGTCCAGAGTTGACAAGGTTTCTTCCAAAGAAGTCATAGCAGGGCTTATAGTGGCAATTATTGAGGTTTTGGTACGTCCTCCAAGTGAGTCCTAAAATAACCGGGCACGGTTAGACATACACGACCTATGTAGACAGGTGACAAGACCACCTATCACATGCCTTAGTAGATTGTTTGAGGAACTGCTTTTGACCTCTTATTCAGAAGGAAAGATATTGAGATAAACAACCATGTAACTGCCTATTTACAGACAGTCATACAAAAAAGTGAATCATCTGTAGCCTAAATAATTCTCCGGTTAGGGCCTATGGAACAACCAATACTGTAAATCTAATAATTCTACAACACAATACTTCACGTAATCTATTGAAACTGCTTAACCGAAATTGGACACAATTCAGAGCAAAAGTTAAGTGAAAACTAACAAGATGTTACTTTATCCTTTTGGCAAGATTCAATAGTGATGGGCACATGGTCTTTTGGATTGCATATTCTAGTCCGAAAGTCATAGAAAAAATTATGCGTCCTGAAAAAACCGTTTACTGGGTATATACATAAAACTGAGATGTAGAGGCATCGAACACCTAAAGTGCTTAAATGCATATCCTTGTACATACTGATAATTCACTGGTGTACAAAAGGTCTATCTGTAGCTTTCTCGAACAATTTACACAATAGAAGTTAAATTATGATTTTTAACTGGAAAAAAACTGAAGACAATGAAGGTCTTGGTTACCTGTAGCAAACGTGTAAGTTTACTTTCTCTATACGGTATATGAGGAGCGTGTTCCACAAGTGAAGTTATTACACGACCCAGAGTTAGTAAACTTTGATTGATTGATCCGGCCTCACGTGCTCGCTTTTCAACAGCACCTGATCTCCCAACATTTTCACTGCCAGCAAGGTCTACTAAGTGCAATTTTCCAATACGCAGCAATTCTTCACTAGTAATCGCATTTATCTCCTTTATATGGACAGTAACCGTGAAAATAGAGTGCGAGCGACTAAAAGTAAGAGACAAATCCCACGTACCTGGACTGAGCATTTAAAAGAGTACAAGCAGTTTGACGCCTAGCTATTCCTCGCTCAATAACACTGTAAACGTCATCCTTGTCCAAAACCACTACCTCCCGAAGGCCTTTGACAATAACAGAGCCCTTGCGGTTTACATCGTCGTATATTGTTAAACGTGTGACATCCTCACTGGCAGAGAGAAGGTCAAATAACTCCTCATTATAAACTTCTAGGAAAGATACGCGAACAGAAAAGTCAGAACCCTGGAGGATTATTACTTTCGTTAAGGAGAACATACATTTGATTGCAAAGTTTCAAACAAGTGACTTAGGGCGCGAGGAATAATCCCTGCGAGTGGATCCGTTTCCCACTCATAACGAAGCTTGTCAGACCTTTCACCAGTCATCGTAAATGTTTTACCACTACCTGTTTGACCGTAACTATAAAGGTTAATTAGATGCATTAAAGTTTACGCGAAAATTGTGCAATTATAGCCCAAAATTATTTCCTCAATCATTGGAGCAACCATACTTTTGTAGACGTCGATTTGCTTCGAGTATTGATTGAAGACATGATCAAAGGTGAAAACCTTTGACATACTTTTATCCCTGACTGTTACTTTTTCCCGGCTACATTCCACACATGACCGCACGGCCTTTTCCAGCTCCTGCTTATTGATAGGCCTGACCAGAATCAACACATTAAATGCTGGTGACATACCGACAACGAACCGCTACTCGAATGTTTTGCTGGCATTCTCGAGTCGACATCATTCGAAACGAAACAAGCGCTTAAGACAGATAAGGTTTTAGTTGATACGGTCAAACACCTCAATCGATAAACTTCAAACTCTAACAGATAGAGTAAAACGAGTATTTTTCTCCGTGATATGAATTCGAACAGTAAGAGATAGGTTTTGGATACAGAGTTATGTTACTTGAAAATGTGTGGCAAGAACAAATTAGTCAATATTAGGAATAGCGAGACGTAACACGATAAGTACTATGATAATTAGTAGAAACATTTTAAATTCACGGGACTACAAGATTATTCTGTCAAGCGTTATCTGACGGAATATGTGAATATCAAGTGAAATACTTCAACCTAATTGATTGACTAATTCAAGTGTGTTATGTTTTAGTCATTTTACAGTTTTTGTCTGGTAGATTGTCAAGATTTATATTTTTTGATCGGTTTTTATCATTATATCGGTCTATATAAATTTGCGACGTGTTGACTGACTTGTTGGACTTTTTGGATTTACTTCAGTGCATATTAGGCTGGTCTAAAATAATACTTGATTTATTATATCCCAAAGCAATTACTAGTGAAACTTATGTCAATGTCGATATAGAGAGAATTCGGTTATGGGGATGTCTGGTTCTAGTATAATACCAATAGTAGTATAACATCACTCAACTAGTATCTGTTCAGTTCTATAGTCCTTTGATTACCATTAATACCACCGTAAATTTCAGTTTATTCAAATACTGGAATACGCATTCAAGACTATTAGAATCGGGGTTCTTAACTAGTTTATTCATTCTCAATCGTTTAGTTGAAGATGACTAATATAATAGCAACTTCACCACATTTGCTACATCAATAAGGTTAACATTGGTCCTTCCCGTGAAAGACTCCGCAGGATGGGACGTTATCACTGGACTCGATAGGGAAACCCACAACTTACCAATTCAAACTGTGAGACATATTGCCTAGATTTCTGTGGCCTCTCTTGTTCGTTGTATCCTAGTCAACTTTCCTCTTAAATTTAGTTTATTACTAAAGGATATCTTTGATCTGGTGGAGTGAAATGTATGATGACCAAAATGATATATCAAGAATACACGACAATTAATATGTCCACACGGCATTGGTTTGTAATTCAGAGATTTTAGACATCATGAATGAGGTTTATATCCTAGATTGAGTATCTTCGTGGTCACGCTTATTTGAACACGTTTCAAGTAAATGGTATTTTTCGTAAGGTAAGGGAATAAAATAGTCAACTCGGACAAGTGTCCCTAGACAAATCTATGGATCTAATACAAACATGATGGTTATTGTCCAGCGAGATCACCAAGCTATTTTATTTACCCAACTGTATTATAATACAGGATTTATCGAGTAAAAAACTATGTTGCGGTATAGAAAGTACAGAGTAGTTATGAGATAGTTAAGGAGACTTATCATTTGTTCTTTCCATAACCTTCACGACTTTGTAGGGCCAGCGAAATGTCACTAAGCCCTAGACAAATCAATGGCAGTATGGACATCGGCATCAACTGATAATACACTCATTCTACTATCGCTATAACATCACTACTCTTGCGGCAAACTAAACGTTGCTCATCGGACGAACTGAATTACTTCTCAAAGCCATATATTTCAGAACGACTTGATAGAACAATTAAACGCCTTGTTCTTTTCATTATTTCTATGGTTACTCGCTTCACGTTTAACCAACGTCCTACTAATATATTATTACTCGCTGTTTTCCCGATCAGTTTCTGCCGCCTACTTTCCATTTTGTTTTACAGCTCGGCAATACCCGGAGGATTCATATGAATCATTTGGTGATATGGGTGCGTAACAACTCCTAACGTGTTTGGTACCGATTCAAACGGCTGTTGAATCTGGTGGGAGAGTATTGTAGGGCCAGCGAAATGTCACTAAGCCCTAGCCAAATCATCCGGCAGTTGGGTCATTGAATATCGGGCAAATAATCGAACCCCATTAAGGTCAGGGGCAACCAACGCGCATCAGTTAATCGTATGCCATGGACTGGCCCATGCGGCAGTGGTCTCACTTTCGCTCGTATTTACTTTAGCTAATATATTTCTGTAATAACGTCCTCTGTGTTGTACAGTCTTCAAAGCATCTATGGTACCTTGATACGTCGATGGGGTAGTCCACGTAAGGTGCTGACCATGAGGTGTGACTTCGACATTAGCTACTTTGTCATATCGTTCACGTCAACCTCGAATAAGCCTTCAGTCTTTCCGACATAGATCATCTACGTTGGTGATTTACAACTTCATATAGCAGCGAAATCGGTTGGTAGTTGTAGGCTTTTACCTTGTCGTCTTTGTGCGAGTGTAGAAACGAACTGTTTTCAACGAAAGTAATCCATTCTTGCACTGAGCAATTGAGTTAAGGAGTAGAGGGGACAATATCGATCAACACATTCTATCAGAACTCTCAGTCTAAGTACATAAAAACCGGGAGATTATATGACTTTGGACGCCTCAAAAGTGACTTGAATTTAGAGACTCACAGTCCAAAGTTTTTATTTTGCCGTGGTGATGGATGGATAGATAGTTTATGGATAGCACTGTGTTAGGACGGTAGGAACTAGTGGGAAGTTCTTCGGACCTTAGCCTAAGGGTGGCAATATTTTGTGTACTATTCCGGTTCATAATAAGTAGTGGTATGAACCTGGCTCTTCAAAAAATTGTGTGGCATGCTTTATCAGACGAAATTGACAGGTTATTCTGTCAAATTCTGTCTTATAAGTAGGCCTATTATGTATTGATTTATAGTTCGACCAGCTACATGCAACGTTGTGATGTCATTCATTCCAGTAACGTGCCTATTGCTGATACATCTGCGGGAACTAGATTTCATCTCGGTGAATAGCTTAGAAGTTTTCGTGTATGAAATGTTAACAAAACCTCAGATTGCTTACAAATACCGTAGTCATAGATTATTATATAGTGTGCATATAACTGGTAAATCAGTCATGGAGATAAAAAAAGTAATCAAAGGCAAGGTTGCTTAGTTCCAAAAGGTATAAGACTAATAAATCGTTAACCTCCCATAATCGGTTCAGTCCAGCCTATAGCATTGTTCATCTAGTCTGAAGCGGGTAAGCTGAGATGCGTTTCAAATAAGCTTACTCCTGTTACCTAGTTTCTAATATCGAGATTAAGTTTGAAATAGATAAATAAAAAGAGCTTAGAAGCGGTTGACTCACCCCAGGGGAGCAGGAGCTTCGAATGATCTCCAATATACACATAATGGTCAGGATCCAAGATCAAACTTCACACTGCTTTACATTACACCGTATGTTACTGATGCTGGTAATGTAGATTTTGCGTGGGCTGATGTGTCAATAATGACCGTATCGGGTCGGTCATTTGAAACATGTGGATATTGTCACTGACAGTTATAATAAGACAAGCCTCACGCAGGACCATTATACATAGGTGCTTATCGTGTATTAGTTCTCTGAGTTCGAAGATTATCAAACACAAACATTCGAAGCTAAAATCTAAATACAGAATGTAAGAAACACACTGACGAAGCTATCTGTATCTGAGTGCACGGCTCAGTCCAGCAGTTAGCTTATTTATGGACTGATGCCACGATTTGATATGGTCTTCCAAATCTTTTTTATGACTTACTCTTACAAAATTTATCATCGTACACCAAAGGAAACAGTGGACAGACATACGTGTTACGTGCTGCAGTTATCTCAGTTGGTATAGACCTGTAGAGTTATGGTCTACTACAATTTTGGTACTGCTCTAATAATAAACCTAACCATCGCATCGTAAGTCACCAATACATGATGGAGAACAAGCTTTGTCAACCCCGAGAAATACAAAAAAAATGTAAGTTCAACCTACAATCTCCACTGAACTCTATGGAAAAGAAATTCTATTTTCAAAGTATGAGTAAATCTAAGCACAAAAGACTATTCAACACAAGAAATATATTAGTTAAATAGGCCACAACTTTCTAGGTAGGTAAATTTTCGATGTAGCAGTAATGGCGGTTATATCACTATGGATGTGAAAAAAATAATGCAACTCAAAAAGCAAAGAATCTAAAGGAAGATTACAGTATGACGCACATGGCAACATGAAATAAATAAGCAAAAATGAACGTTCAGTAGTAGGTCATAGAATAAAATTTCATACACTTTCAGAGTTGTAAATAGTAACCATTAACGATTATTCTTTATAAAAATATGATACTATGGCAAATATAAATATACATGCTTCTTAGTGAAGGTAAATACACAGAAAAGCAAAAATTAAAATAAATCACACTTATTGAATAGAAATAGAGACAACAGTTTATGGAAGTAACTAATTATTATTAAAGAATACTGCAGACATTGAGTGTGCAAGATGAATAAAGACCAAATAACATAGAGACAATAGCTGCATGTATATCGAACAAGAAAAGACGAAGTTATGGTCGAAAAATGGGTGACCCCAAGTCGTACCTTAAATAGAAAGAAACAAAAGGTCAACATTCCATTTTACTTTAGGCATAAAGAAGCTAAAAACTGGTGCAACATTAACTAATCAGTAGGAATAGGAAATTTATATAGGACGTTATTTAGTAAAACCAACCTTGGTGGTTCACCAGCCAATCAGAAAGATGTTTATTTAGAGAAAAAATTAGTGACAGGAAGCAATACAATCACAGTGAAAAAAGTAGTTTCGATATGATATAACGACCCTTACAAGTTGAGTTGTTCATTATAGTGAAAGAAAAAGATTTATAATTAAATAATGAGAGCTTAGATAAATTTATGAGTTAGGGTAAGAACGGTTATGGTTGGAAGCTTTAAAGTAGGAAAATACGCTTGGGCCATACGAACGTCTTTGACTATGGATTGAGTCATTTTAAGTATTCTAATTTATAAGCTGCATTAGTGAGCAGAGATTTCATTTAATCTAGTTTACGCACAATCTCATATTCACTATGTGGTTGCGTAAAAGATATTTACATCAATGCTCAGTATTTTTATAACTAAATGTTGACGATTTCCCTTGTTCCTA